ACATCATGATCTCCCCCCCCCCATTCCCCCCGCAATCTGCCGCATCCCAATACAGTGTTCGGAAAGAAAATGACATTTACTACAGAACCCCTAAAGTTGATAAATACGAGATGGGTGGAAAATACATATTTTAATAACTTCAGTTTAAAGCTGCAGTCCGTAACTTTTTTTGGTTAAAAATGATCCGAAATCAATATTTGAGCTAGTGCATAAACAGCCAGTGCTCAAGACTATTGCCTTACTTTAGCCCGATTCACAACGGTCGGTAAGATTATAATAATGTTTTCTAATTTGAGTGGTATAGGTAGGTCTTCGCGGGAAATTCGAGCATGCTGCTGCGTCATTACGTCACGTCTGTAAACATAGAGATTGAGTCCCGGCTAGTAGGCTATAGCATATGAGGATCCTGCAGGTGGCGGATCGTTTATAGCCTTTTTTCACAGCAGCTGGAATAATTAAATTTATCATGTTGATGGTGGATTGTAATCCATTAAGGATTATGTGTTTATGAAACAAATATGTGACTGAAATTAAATTATTTCAGTTTGTGTGCATCTGATTACAGATAGCCCGGGATTACACAGGATTTGCATTTTAAAGAGAACCAGTACGAAGGAAGAATAATTTGCTTTTTGGGTTAAAAGAATTTCTTAATATGAAATTCGAATGGTATGACAATTAGAGATTAGACTGTACAGAAATTGAAATCTACATGCTAATACACACTATATACACAGTCACGCAATGCTGATGTTGTTAACATTTAACAATTTGAGAACAAAGTATAACAATAATAATAATTTGCACGGTTTGATGTGATATGAGCTAATCGATCATTAGATTTAATCGCCATTGGTAGCGCGATTTATTGTAATGCTTTTTTCCTCAGTTGGTCAGAACAAACATGGCAGACCTGTTACTTGCGTGTTCTGATGACAATATCCGGTGAAAATTCTTATTTGGGTCATATTCCAAGAAGTAGGCGAGAATCTGTGATTCCTAAGTACAGTATCCACACCAGTGCGGTGACTGACAGCCACACATTCACTTCAAAACATTAGATTCATCCGCGCTGTAGCCGTGACGGATCACAACCCACGCAAGGAAGATAATTCCGCAAGTAACTGCAATTGCAGGTTTCAAACAGAGATGGCGACAAAGAGGCAAAACTTATGGACTGCAGCTTTAATTGAAACTGCTTTTGAATGCACGATCACTTTTTAGTTTCACTTTCGAGATTCGCGATCGCACGTAGTCTGTTTATACTATGGAGTGGCAGTACTTACCACATATTTTACAAGATTAAATGTTTGTCAGTGGTGCTGAGGATCTGCAAATCATTCGCCATCGTCCTCAGTCATCTGTCCTTTCTTTGTTTATGTGGTAAGTGAAATTTTATGTACTGTAATGTAACAGGCAACCGTTACAGACATCGCCAAACCCTATCATATATGGTTGAAAAGTTCTCAATCTCCAGAATATAAAAATCATACTTGTTTCAGTTATTTGTTTCAGACCAAACTATATTGAATTTTTTTATGAAAAATCGTGTGCTGACGTACAGTATACACTTGAAGGTTTTGCGCCACATTTTGGTTTAGAATATTGTAAAACATTAGTAAATTATAGTACAACCCCAATTCCAGAAAAGTTGGGTTTTTTTGTGAAATGCCATAAAATCAAGAATATGTTATTTGTTCGTTCTCTTTTACCTTTATTTATTTGACTAAAGTACAAAGAAAAACAAAGATTTTGGTGCTACAACACACTCCAAAAAAGTTGGGACAGAGGCATGTTTACCATTGTGTCACTTTTGCTTTTAATTACATATTTTAATAATCTGGGAATTAAGGATGCTATTTTTTTAAGTTTTGCAAGCAAATTTTTTTGCCTAGTCTCACTTGATACAAGGCTTCACCTGCTCAACAGTCCATAGTCATTGTTGTCTGATTCTCCATTTCATGATGGGTCATACATATTCAATATAGGCCTGGGCGATAAAACGTTATCGATATTTATCGACGGTACACCTTCTTCGATATCGATAGAAAAAATGTTCGATATAGTGCACGATATAGGCATGTGCTATGAGTGACGCAGACAGCACACACAAACACGAACACATGCTGAAATGAGTGCTGTACCTGCCTGTGATGAGGAGATTGTGAATAAAGAATGAATATTAGTCGAATTTAAAATAAACATTTGCATTTGAATGTTAGGTGTGCATCAGGGAGCGTCATCAGTGGCGCGCGAGATGCGGTGATGATGTAAGTGACGCTGTTGCATTTTAATGTTTTGTTAGTCTAGCCCACGAGACGCGCCGCTGCAGCGTTATTCATTCAGAATATTAGAAAAATATAGAAGCTCAATGCGGAGAAGATCTTGAATGGGTTAAAACCGAAACCAAGCCATTCACACAGAACGCATATTCAGCGCATTTTTTAGATGGACAAATATGACTGCTGCACTCGCGTCTCAGAGAAGAGATGTATAGAAAGCCATGCAAAATTAAAACAGTTTAAACTTTTAGAAAACACGTCACGAATTTGTGGAGGTTTATTCCTTTTCACTGCGACTCACATGTTTTTAAATGCAGTCTGTGTGAATGGTGCTTTGGCTCTTTGGATTAAGCAATGCATAAATGCATGATGCTGTTTTGTTCATAATTGTTATTCCTAAGATTACTCCTAAGATTAATTAAAACTCCTAAAATAAAACTCCTAAGATTAATTCTGAATTATTCTGAAAAAGATAAAAAGATAATTCTGATTTGGTGGTGGTCGGGAGAGTTCTCTCCCAGGTGGAGAGTTGCAACTTTGGCGTCCTGCTGGTGTGGAGGAGGTCCCGCAGCATCGCGGTTGGACTGGATGTCTCCAGTCTCCTCCACACAGCAACCAAAAGAAAGGGTCCAAGAGCAACCAGAGAGAAGAAGCGAGTGAGGTCACTCTGATTTGCCATTAACTTCTGTGGAGGTCACACCTCCAGGGGTTCAGTGAGCCATTTATGGGGAATTAAGTGAGAGTTAACTCTCCCTAAATTCCTTTGAGTTGTAAATCTTATCTTTTATTGTTTCCTTGCTGCTATGGTAACCAGTGGCCTGTAGGGCTGGGTATCAAGTTCGATACTTTTTAGGCACCGACCGAATTGCTTCGATACCATCGAGTATCGAAAAACGTTTTGTCGTTCGGTACCAAATTTCAATACCTAAGGGGTTAATCTCATCAGTGTCAGTGAGCCAATAGGCCTGCAGCACTAGCCAGTGTGTTCGACTAGAAGAGGTGCGGCGCAGATCGATCATCCGCGAGAGCGATTCGAAAGCGCACGGAGCAGTCTGCTCTCTTTAGCTCTCGTGGTACTGTAATACACCGATCGGTCTGCACAGTCGATCCACGTCAAGTCGAACACACCTACTAGTTTACACCGGTTACGCGTCATACTGGCATTTCCACTGCGTTTCAAGCCGGGTTTCCACTATCTCCGACAAACGACAAGCGACAGACCGGTCATTCACTTCCAATGGAGAGTAGAGTACCATACCGTAGAGAGCTGCGTGGTGTACCGATCATATGCAGATGTCCATTCATACTAACGTTACACGACTGAAAGCGCGTGTTATGTGACCATTCATGCAAACT